GTTTTGATCTGTCAGAGTGTGTGCTTCTCATTTTGAAGTGCCTCATGCTTTTCCCACCCGGGCTCTTCCCCTCACAGCCTGTAAGGTTTGGAAGCCTTAAAAGCCTTAAAAGCTCCCACTGTAGGAGGCGAGCCAGTGCTGTCCATTTGACCCAAACTTCTTTTGGAACAACTCCGCGGCAGTCATTGAACTCTGGGTCCACGCTTTGAAACCTCAATCTGAATTCTACAAACACAACACACGCTCTCTCTCTCACACACATTTGAAGGAATCGCCAAGCACAGACAACTTAGCTGAAAGTCAGAGTTGGCTTTAAAAGCACTGAGCTCTGAAAGGCTCTGTTCCTAATCTCTTTCTCACTTTGTTTCTCTTCTCCTTCTCCTCCCCGCCCCCATTTTGCCTTCTGTCTTTACCTGTTCTCTACCTCTTGCAGGAGAATTCTGGGGAGATTTCTTGCTCTTTCATTCCTCAAGGATGAAGCAGCACAGTGAACCAGCGTACTGAAGCAGGTAAGCTCTGATGATCCTAGTGTCCTTAAAAAAAACCTGCACGAACACAGACACACTCACATTTTTTTCTCGTTTTACTGTCAAATGCAGATTTGTTCTGTTTCATAATGTGCCGAGTCTAACATTACTAAAAGGCTTACACAGCAAAGAAGCCCCCAAAAAGAAAAGAACTCGATGGCGTCTTTGTTCCCTAAAAGAGTCTGAGTAAAAACACAGAGGGAGACTCATTCTCAGGAACAGAGTGTAAGTGAAGATGCTGTCAGGGGGATTAAAGTTCTAACCAAACATCACCGACCCCCCAGGAGAGGCAAGTCCGCCGCTGTCGCACCAGACGGACCGAAGGAGCGACATGACAGACGAGCAGACAAGACAAGACAGAGTGGTGATTCCCAGCTGTCTTTGAAAACCCGCTGCCTCTGATACATTATTGAATATGCAGCTCTTCCAACGCATCGCTGAGCCTTCCTCTCATGTTAGCGTTTGAGTTTGCATCGCGTCACCGTTCTAAATATAAAGCATTCGCTCATCCCTTCTCTGTTTGTTAAAAAGATGCAGAGGCAGGCTGTGCTCGTAGGCCCAGGCGTGCAGCTCTGAGCGCCGCTTTCCTGTTCTAAGGCTGGCTGGAGGTTTGAGATTTTCTGTGACTCGTTTTGGCAGCGAGCCTTTTGAAATATCAGAAAAAAAGTACTAAAAGGTGAAAAAAAGATTTTATTAAACTGTTTGAAAGTGTTGCTGAGCATTCTGAGGAGAGCCAATTGCTTCGCTGGGAGTTCACTAAAAAGCTGTAAGACTTTACTGAAGTTTGTTTTCGACTCTCTAGTGCTGCACTATCCAAGTCTGCACAGTTCACACATCCTGTCACCTGTCATTTCGCCTGCTCAACAAGTCAAGTTTTGGTGTTTGGATAAGGTCACAATTCTGTTTGTGTCTGTGGAATACTGAGTTCAGTCTACAGGTGGCAGCAGAGCAGCATTCCCAACAGGAAGGCTTCTGGAAGCCCCTTCTAGTCCAGCTGTCCAACTCGTGATTGGATCTGTTTTATTTAATAAATTCAACATTCCAGAACTGGAAAAACAGTGGAAAAAACACAGTTAATGCAGTTTCTTTGTTTTGATATTACACGTGACAACAAATCAAATTGTTATAACATCTGTTCTCTTGCAGCTCCCACTTTCAAACTTCATAAGTGAGAATGAAACATGAGCAAAGGTAAGACTGATATCTTCTGTTTAAGCTGATTTCTGAGTGTGTGTGTGTGTGGGGGGGGGGGGTTTCTGGTGACATTTGGGGGCAATTTTAATACAAAATGCTTATCTTTGGGGACAACTGGTGCATTTGGGGACAAAAGTCGAGTCCCCATTTGGTTTAAATGCCATTGGTGTGTTGGAGGTTTGGTTTAGGACCAAGGTGGGAATTGAGTTTAGGTTAGTTTTAGGATCAGGTGAGGTTAGCGTTCGGGTTTGTGGTCAGGGTTAGGCTGTAGAAATGTAATGGAAGTCAATGGAATGTCTCCAAATGAATAGCTCTGCAAATTTGTGTGGACATGTGTGTTTGTGTGTGTGTAAGGGTTGGGCATTATTTCATACAGGTGGCAGGTTTGTAGGCGTGTGTCCGTACATTGATGTTGCAGTGACACGATCAGCCCTGCGACTGCTGGCAGCTCTTTGTCAGGTTGCTATAGTGACTGTGGGTTGAGTGTTGGGGGGAGACCGGAGAGGAATATGAGGGCGCAGAGGTGAGGAGGTGGGTGGGCGGAATAGGAAATGAAGTGCTACGTGCCTCCGGTGTGTGCGTCGCATGTGTGGGGTGCGTGTTTTGTGTGCATGTCTTAATAGTGGATCTTAGTGGAGACATTTGTTTCATCTGTAAAATGAGTGGAGCGCTGAAAAGATGATCACCTGTGCAAATCTGGAATTTGATTGAGATAACACACTGAGTAAATCGTCCACAAGCTCAGTCTGTGTGGGAGCGTCAGAGACGACGTTCCTGAGACAGAGTGTGGGCCGAGGAAACCCTGCTCCAAGTGGGTCGCAGTTTGTCTCACGTTTCACTTTAAACGGCCACATCAAAGAACCTCTCTGGAAACTGGAAAACCAGCAGAGAAAGTAGCTTTGTGAGTGCAGAACACCGACAGTTTAAACACCACACACATTCCCGATTACATTTCAAGTTGCTGTAAATTTCATCACTCGCTTCTAACGATTGTTTTATTGCGGCTTATTATTTTAATTTATCTACCTGTTGTTTTTACTCTGTGGCAGCTCTGAGCTGATCAGTCTGACAAGGAAATGAGGAAATGTTAAAGTTTGCAAGTCGTGCAGAAATAAACTGTAAGTGTTATTATTTGTTGTTATTTTGTTTGTCTGATGTTAGTGTTTTTGTACATGAGGGAATGAAGACTGATTAGTGGGCATCTTTAAAGTACACAGATTCAAACTTGGCTTTAAGAGTTTAATCAGAATTCCATTTTCTCTTAGTGGACATTGAAATAAATGCATATGTATGTAAAGACATAAGTTTAAAGAGATCCGGTGTGTTGCTGCATGACAAAGCCCTGAACCTCAGTGAAGTGTGAAGGAGTGAAGGATATGTTTGAGGTCAGTGAGGTGTGAAGCAGGATGGATTCAGGTTGGAATCAGGATTACATCGATGGTCAGCGCTGAATTTCCCTGTTTTCTGTGGTGATGGACAGGCTGATGGACGAGATCAGGCAAAAGTCTCCATGGACCATAGTGCTCACAGAAGACATGGTGATGCATGTTGAGAGCAAGGTACAGATTCTGACTGGAGGTTTTGAAAACCCTATAAAGACAAGAGGATTGGCAATCTGCGGGAGCAAAGCTGAATAAATGTTCACGTCTCACACAGGAAAAATACACAAACAACTGAATAGATTAATCCCCAAAATGAGCAACTATAGAAATTGTATAGAGATCCACCTAGTTGTTTTCTTCAACTAATATTTCTCATTTTCTTACTTCGGTTTCCTCACTGACTTTGCATATTTTAAATAGAAGAAATTGGAGGAACCGATTTAAGAAACATCAGGCACTCCTATAATTGTTTTCTTTCCACCAGTTCAAAAAAACACACATCTAGGCAAGCACACATTTTGAGCTGCATAAAAATGTCTAAATAAAGGTCTCTTTGGACACTCATGGACTGGTGGTGATAACAAAATGTACACAAAGCAGACCCACGAGGACCCCTGTGGACATGCAGAGAAACAAAAAATCCTAATTAGCTTCAACCACTCTGAGGTAATTGTGGTTTTGTTACCCATGTATATTTGTTACTCACGTTTGTGTTGGATGATGTAGATTTTAAATCATGTAAAACACTGCAAACGTGTATTTCAATTACAGGCAAGAACCAGTAAAACTGTAATCAGCTATCGCTCGCATTTATCCATCATATATTTTATTATAATGACGTTATATTATTTTTTTATGTTATAATCCTGAGGTAGATAGTGGGATTTTCTAGATATCATTATTTAATTTGAAGGACAAGCTTGTGTAAAAAAACATATCTAGAGTAGCTTTTATTAAACTCACTTGTGATTTTGGCCAAACTGCAAAAAAATTGGTCCCTTTTTAAAATAAGGGTTGTAATGGTTCTCCATTTAAGCTCTGTTTCATTAAAATCCACAGACATAAGGATTTTGGACCAAATCTTCACTGCAAAATTGCTACCTCATCCAGTATTGAGATGTTGAGTTAGTCATAATTAACAGTCAGTCATCAATGTTATCATGCTGCGAGCTGCTAAAACTTTTCATTCTGCAAGTAAAAAGTGACGTCTCTGCAGGGGGAAAAAAACAGAGAAACATTTAGTCATTTTCCCCCTTTTAAATCCTTAAGTGGGAAATTGCATCCTTTGAAGTGTTGACAAATACTGTTTTCAATTGTGAGAAAGGTTTTGTAAGGACTCCATCAACACTGTGATTTCTGTAAATTAAGGAGTTTAAAAGCAGGCAATTTATTGTGTAGAAGTTACATGTTGGCTAGTTCTTAAAAAAATTATTTGTGAATTTAAAATTCCTTTGACTGTGGACTTTTTAATTAGAGAATGTTTTATGTGAGAACATAAAACATCTTTGTGGTGAAGCTGGGTGTTTTTTTTTTTTCAGCAAAAAAGTTTCAATTCAAAAAAATTGAAGGGACTCGCAGAAAATGCATCAATTTAAAGCAAAATGTAAACAATGTGAGAAGAAATTCAAAGAAATTTGTGGTGGTGAGTTTAACATTTAATGACAGGTGAACATGAATCCATCACAACTTTGAATTTATTATTAATCTCACAAGAACTAGAGTACCTTAATTGAACTGGTCTGTTTTTAAGCAACAAATCGAAGCAGCCCTCGGACTCTGCTGCCAATATACACCAAACCGTTCTGCTCGTCCACCGTGCCTCCAGCGTGTGCAGTCCGCTGTGTGTAATAGTCATTGTAAAAGACATAATATGCTGTACCATACAGGCATGGCTTCACACAGGGATTACACTTAGATGATTCTTCAATAGAGAATTTAGTCTCGGGTAGCCAAGCTTAATCCGCGGCTGTGGGAGCAGACCAAAGTAGTGTGGAGCCACGGCCAGATATGACAAAGAACAGCGCCAGATTAGTTTATGCAGGAACCAGGCTGAGCGTGTCCTGAAAGTTCCACTCAAATCTCTGCACTCAGTCTAATGCAGTCTGAAGGAAACAGCTGGCCACTTTCTGTCCTTTTGCTTGTCATTTTCTTCTTTACATTCTTGCCTGTTTCTCTCAGAGGTGAGAGAAAGATTTTATTTAAAGTGTGTGTATGTTGGATTGTTTATCCCTGGCTGATACCAACCAACCATCCATCCATCCATCCATCCATCCATCCATCTTCCACTTATCTGGAGTCGTGTCACAGGTACATCAGCCTAAGAAGAGAGACCCAGACTTCCCTCTCCCCAGCCACTTGGGCCAGCTTTTCTGGGGGGACCCCAAGGAGTTCTCAGGCCAGCCGAGAAATAGTCCCTCCAGCGTGTCCTGGGTCTTCTTCTGGGCCTCCTCCCAGTGGGATGTGCCCAGAACACCTCACCAGGGAGGCATCCAGGAGGCATCCTAACCAGAAGCCCGAACCACCTCAACTGGCTCCTCCCGACATGGAGGAGCAGCAGTTCTACTCTGAGTCCCTCCAGGACTGTCGAGCTTCTCGTCCTATCTTTGAGGGAGAGGCCAGACACCCTGCGGAGGAAACTCATTTCGCCCTCTCGCATCCTCGGTCTTGTTCTTTCAGTCACTACCCAAAGCTCATGACCATAGATGAGGGTATGGATGTAGATCAAACAGTAAAGCTCTCACTTCACCATGACAGATCGGTCCAGCACAGGCATCACTGCAGATACAGCACCAATCCACCTGTCGATCTCCCTCATTCATGAACAAGACCCCGAAATACATAGACTCTTCCAGATGGGGCAGGACCTCTTCCCTGACCCAGAGCAGGCACTCTACCCTTTTCCGGCAAAGTACCATGGTCTCAGATTTGGGAGCACAGATCCTCATCCCGGCCTCTTCACACTCTGTTGTGAAATGTTCCACTAACAGCCGGAGATCACAATCTGATGAAGCCAATAGGACCACATCATCTGCAAAAATCAGAGACACGATACCTAAGGCCACCAAAATGGATCCCCTCAACACCTTGGCTGTGCCTAGAAATTCTTTTCATAAAAGTCATGAACAGAATCGGTGACAAAGGGCAAGCTCTCAACTGGAAATGAGCCTGACGTACTGCCGGCAATACAGACCAGGCTCTGACACTGGTTGTACAGGGACCTAACAGCTCATGTGAGAGTACTTGGCCCTGGCTGATGCATGTATCTCAATACCTGGGCAGGTTCAATTAATTAAAGATATATGAGCAAAAAGAAAAGGTGATTTGACACTATACAATTCATTCATCTCTTAATACTGAATCACACTTTATCACAATGTTTCTAACAAGTAGTTCTTTAAATTTTCTGAAGGCTTTTTAAAATGTGCTTTTTAACTTTGGCTGGTTTTTCAATCATTCTCAGTCCAGTCCCTGGTCATTTTTAGCACTTTTTATTTGCCACTTTACTCTGAAAAGGCACCAGCTCCCCTGCGACCCAGAAGGGACATAGCAGGTACAGAAAATGGGTGGATGAATGGACTTCACTCTGACCTATGAATTATTCAGGCATAAAATACCTTGTGATCTCAAGGAATGAACCAGTGTTGTGTTTGAATGTAACAGACTGCTTAGCAACTGGGGGGTGGACAGTCAGGTCCGAGGACACTCTGGACACCCATCAGGCTCTGCCCCTGATTAGTTGAAAACTTGACAAATAGCCAGTGATTAACTTCAGGATGATTTGTCTGTTAGGCCCTGTAATGGGTATGAAAGGCATGACTTTTAGATTCTGTGCATGCAGATAATTGTTAAAACTGGCACTTCTTTTCACATTTTTTAAAGAGAACATTTCATGCAAATTTCACTTTTTTAACCATTAAATGTATTTTGTTGTGTACTTAGAGTCTTTAGGAGTGCAGAGATGCTGAATTTAGTCTCTCCTGGTGCTGCGTAGATATCTTATATTCTGTTTGGGTCATATTTTCAACCCATTCAGTTTTCTCTAACACAAACATTTTCTAAACAATTATGTCAAAGAATTTGCGACGGAGTTTCTAAATAAGGTCTGAACTTGCCAACTACAGGCTTGTTGACTTCAATTTCCTCTCACTCTGGGTCAGACTCTGACTCCAACATGTAAATAAATAAAAACAAATTTGTGCTGCTATATAGTCATAAACCACTTTATCAAGGTACAATGGACTAATAGACACTGGAGAGGGCCGGAGTGTGAAGGGCATCAATTTGATTTAAAGAGACAGCCTCAAAATGAGTTGCTTTGAAACACAACTCAGGTAAGGGAAGAAAGAAGGGCTTGTTGAGTTAAAATAAGTAGGAATTCAGGCTAAAGCATTGCAGTTTCACATTATCTAAACCCCAACTGAATATTTTAAATATGAAAAAGAAGGATTTAAAAGCATAATGACTCATTTAAACCCACATTGTACAATATTTCATCTTGGTCATGTGCAAGGATTGTAAACAATTTCAAAAGGTACAAAACGTTTGCCTTGTTGGAAGTAAAATGTAAAGAAATTAATGGTAGTTGAAACACGTACTGTAATGTAGGTTGGGGAAATCATTTAAAGTGTCTCCTTTTAACCACAAGTTTTGTCCTGTCCGTTTCAGAGCTTGTCTATGAGATGCTTGGATTCCACCCAGAGTGCAGCTCGCTCCTGTGAAAATGCTCATGTCCTCTCAGGTGTTATGTTTACAGCACTGCCGGAACTGATAAATACCCCTGACTAATGCAGAATTATTTGACGCCGGATTGAATGCCTGGCTAGCAAAACCACATGTCAGAAACAGGCTGCGGCAGAGCCAGGAATACCTTCAGAAATAGACAGACTTACACAGCGATGGTCACATACTCTCCCATTTAGATCCTCTACCAAAGCCAGAGCCCAGCTGTGAGATAAACACTTGTAAGATTATGTGACGACCGAGTCTAAAAAAACAGCGTCAAGGTGATAAACTGAGAGCCTGGTCACACTCTAATAAGAAAAAAAAGGGAGCTACTGTTGGCCTCTTTCTTACTACGTCGCTGCACCCATTTCAACAGATCATTTAGAAGCAATACTACCCGCAGCTTTTCAGTTGTCACTGTGTGTTTTCTGTTGATGGAAATAATAATGGAGATATTGGCTGCAGAATCATTGGGTCCAGGCCATCGTGCTGAGTGGTTCGATGGAGAGGAGTGGATGGATGGAGTGCCACAGCTTTCATCGACAGTGCTGCACGTCGTGTGGAGGGCACGGCAAACAGAGGCCCCATGAAAGCTGTGATTTTAAATACCATGCCTCACATGCACAAATATATAAAAAAGGCAACACACACAAAGGTGCACCCACACACACACACACACACACACACACACACACACACACACACACACACNCACACACACACACACACACACACACACACACACACACACACACACACACACACACACGACAGTGGATTAGGATGTGGATTATGGAAGCCTAGCTGTAAAACAGGCAGAGACAGATCAGTGTCATGATTTATAAACACACACACTCTCACACACACACTAGATGTGTATTATGAGTACGGTAGGATGGATTTATTTTGAGATGGACGGTGTAATGACTTTCATGTCATGATTGAGTACCGTTCAAGTATAAATAGGAAGACGGTTCAATAGAGCAGCAAAGAAGCTTTAGCAATCAATTACTGAACTGGAGCAGGAGCAGCATGAGCTGAAGGTCATGGAGATTTCATGTAAGGGTCATGTAATTTTTTTTCTCTTCTGATTTTGTTTTTGTACAATGCAGTTTCAATTTGAGAGCCTGAGATACACGTATTATTAAAGAGAGCAACAAGAGTACGACTGCCTTTCAGTTTGGTAAACAGCTCCCGATACCATCAATGGTTCAAAACTCGGATCACTACAATCACTGTCCTCAATTCAGTTCATCAGTTACCAAAGCTCACAGCCATCACTGTGGTCAGGTTAGCTTCCTTATTGCCTGGATGGAAAATGTAGCAAGCAAGGTTGCTAACTCTAATTTATTAGTGAACAATGGGAGTAAATCTTTGAGAATGAATTCAACAAGGTGTATTTTTTTAAGCGCAACACGTTGATTTATAGAACTGTCCCAAAGGTTCGAAATCCAGTGGGCTAAAAATAAAAAGGATGAAGAAAAAGCTTTAAAAAGGGGACAAAGTAACATACAGTTCTTTCACACAGTAACACATTTCCCTGATATTTATCTGAAACATTTGTGACACACTTTAGTCAAAATAAAAATCATTTTAGAAAAAAAAATTGTGTCAAATCACTTCAATTCTCAATACAAAGACATACCATTTTAGTTAGTTTAGTTAGTTTTATTCATTTATAAAGCACCCGTCATACTAAAAGCAGCTCAAGGTGCTGAACAAAACTATACACAATAAACAAACCCATAAAAAAACAGCAACAGCATCAACAATACAATAAAAACAGTCATTAAAAATGTAATGATCAGAAAAAATACAGTTCAACGAATACATTTAAAAAGATGAAAGCCATACCATTGAAGTAAGACAATAGTCAAAAGGACAGAAAACTTCTATATTAGCTTTTTTTTCCCAGTGAAATACTGTATGTAACTTATATTTTCCCGTTATTAGCCAATCAAAACGCCCCAGCAAAAACCATGTTGATTTTCCACCCCTGAGGTAAAGTGAATGCAAGTGTCGAGGTCAAACAGTGGGAGGATATAAAAGTGTAGAAGTAGATTTTTATTTATTTGAAGGACTCACTCAGTGACACGCTTTTAAACCTGAGGGTCTCGTTTAACGTTGGCGTGATCCCGACACCCACATGCACAGATTCACAGAAATGTTTATTTCAATATGCTGTCTGATTAGTGTGTGTGTCTGCGCGTGTGTGGGCAGCTGAAGTAAATTTGTCCCTATACTCTGTGGGTTCCTTCAGATGATTTACAAGGTAAGGCCTAAAATCTGTGACTCAGCTCAGTCACATGTTGTTCCCACATGATGGAGCATCAGTCGACTGCTGACTGAGTGCCTCGATCTGCGGCCTGCTAAACGCTGGCCCTCCTGCATCAGGCGTGTCCTGGTCACCAAACATCTGTCATCAGCATGCAGCTCAGTGGAGGTCTGCAGCTCTCCATGGTCTCAACTCCTTCATGACAGTCAAAAATAATAATCGGTCCCCCCTTTTTTGCCTCTTTTTATATTCACTCTGCATTTTTCGGCTTGGCCTCCTCCTCCTCACCCTCCTCCACATCTCCCCTCTCGTCTTTTTAGCATGCTGAAATACATAACCAGCAATTTGCCAATCTCTCCATCGACGACACACACATGCACACACACAAACACACACACACAGATACATGCAGTGGCTTCCAGACCACAAAAGGCTGCTGTGGAGTATAATGACAGATAATTGGCTATTGTGGGTTTGCCCTCAGCAGCAGGAACCAATCACAGTGACAACCACTTCTCCGTGACCCATGTGCACGAGGCCGTGTGTGTTCATTGTGTGTGTGTGTGTGTGTGTGTGTGTGTGTGTGTGTGTGTGTGTGTGTGTGTGTGNTGTGTGTGTGTGTGTGTGTGTGTGTGTGTGTGTGTGTGTGTGTTTACTGGTTGATTGTGTGCGGCAAGTACCTGACAGCACACGGTATAATTTTATATTCATTTTTTGCTTTAAGGAAACACAAATAAGCTGTTCAGTTATGATTTGTGTGTTTTTCTGAGTTTGTGTGTGTTCGTGAATAACATGAATATCTATCAATGTTGTCGAAATCTCTGCGGTATCGGTCTTAACATTTTTTATACCCTTTTTTGATCACTTGCTGCTGAAAGGTAAAGACCGGATGATAATGGTTTTGCTCATATTTTTGTTTCTTGCCAACACACTTCATGAAACACTACATTTTATTTAAACTTGCAGAAAGTGTTCATTGAATCTAAAACCAATTAACTTTTTTTGACCCAGTTAAAAATGGCCACCACAAACTACCAACCTTTTCCAGACACAAACATGGCAGACAAATATAGACATAAAATTTCTTGTGGTAGTTAGTGAGAGTCGTTCATATTTCAAATTCTGAGCTGAGCTATGAGAACGCTTGTGAGATTATAACAAAATAAAATAAAATGAAAGACACTGAATACTTTTTATGGTTTTTACAGTCAATTACTTTTACATTACATTTACATTTTACATTTGATTTTATGTTTCGTTCTGTCTATCATTTCCTGTTTTCTGAGTTTTTTTTCCTCTTCTGATGCTCTCCCTGTTTGCACTGATTCTTATTTCCTCTCTTTCAGAAGTGGGGAGTCCTCATACAACCCTTACACACAGGCTTAATGAGATCCTGTATGCTTGTGTGTGCATGCGCACGTGTGTGTGTAGCTTTGCAAATATGATCTTTTCTCTTTTGCCAAAACATGCTGCCATAAGAATGTGAGGCTTTGCGTGTGCGTGTGTGGAGGAGGGGGGCTGTGTGCTTCATCATAACAGCTAGCTCAATATTCCCAAATGCAATTTCCTTGGATGTGAAAAGAGCGGGCTGGGTGTTCATCATTCTCTCCTCGACTCTCTGTGCTCAATAAAAAGCTTCTTTAAGTCTGCTCGGCTGCGTTCTCACTAGTTCTTCTAATTTTCTGTCACCTCTTCTTTTTATTTGTATTTTTTGTTGTTTTATTCATTAAGACTCATGCACATACATGTTCCTCAGACAGCAGATCAGTCTGTGCATGATGGCACGTCCCTTTCCGTCTTCCTGTTGTGCTGCTAAGCATAATGAGCTGATAACATGTAATTCAACCCAGCTGAAGTTTGTTTGCGAAAATCAAACACAATAAAAACGGTTTGGTACACAAATGAAAAACCCATTCTCGCACTGGTGCAGGTAAATTGGTCAATTCAAACTTTAAAAGCCCTTGATTGCCTTTTTCAAATGGCTCAGCTTTAGGGAAAGTTGAAATTGTCAGAGCTCAAAATACCACATTAACAGGAATTAAACAGTCATTTAAAAGAGGAAGAGCAGCGGCAGTCATCAAGCAGCTTGTTTTCTTGCATGACATTCCAGCAACTGTTCGAGAACTCCTTGTTCGCTGCATTAGAGTCTCTCTCTATGAAATTATGGCTGTAATTGGTCCAGGTGCAGCCAGGGGATGTTGCCATCACTAATGCCAGCCAAGTCTCTAATGGTTCGCAGCCCACTGCGGCCTGTAATATCTGGATGGAAAACAAATGACTGGAGAACTGACATGTGCCAAGTCTGTGCCTAAAGGAAGGAAGGGATAATGATGTGGTGTGTGTTTGTGTACAAAACCCATCTGTGTCAACGTTGCTGTCAAAAATGTGCTGATTTGAAGCGATCTAGGGGCTTTCAGCAATCAGAGCTCCCACAAACATAGTCTCCCAATGGATGTTTAGGTTTGTGTTTGTCTGGCAGAGTCATTAAAGGGACATCTGATAGTTTGTCATAATAATGACTCAGACATACAGGAGGAGTCATAAAAACAGATATCCTCTGTAGGAGGGAGGACCTGTCTGTCACAGAGCTCTGATCTTAGCATCCAGTCAGTGTGGGATTGCATGACAAGGCAGAGACAAACTCAGCTGAAAAGCCGAGCCAACTTCTGCACAAGTACTGATTAAAGTTCATGTTTTTTTAAACTTGCATTTGAAATATTCATTGCAGTGTTTGTGAAAGCTTCTTTACTTTGCTTTCAGTGCAGAACAGATTTGTGCGGCGTGTGCACAGAACAATAATAACACGTGTATGCATGGGTCAGTCAAGTGTTTGCTCGTGACATAAATCATTAAGTTTCGATATTGAAGGCTGTGTGTGTGTGTGTGTGTGTGTGTTTCAGAAGTTT